TGTGTAAATGTGCTGTAATACTGTTATGCCACAATAGATAATTAACAGAATCCAAATGTCCATAAACTGGTGAACAGATCAACAAATTGTGGTATATCTATACAAGACAATATTACACACTAAGAGAAAGCAATGAATTACTGATACAACAATGTAAGTTTCAAAAACATTACTCTGAGCAAAAGAAGTGAGACACAAAAGAATACATACATTATGAATTCATTCATATGTAATTCTAGGGAAGACAAATATAACCAATAGCAACAGAAAGCAGTTCAGATTTCCTGAGGCCAAAGGCTAGGATTTACTGGGATAGGCCTAAGGGAACACTGAGGAAAACTGAAATTGTTTTGATCTTGGTTGTGGTGGTGGTTACACAGGTATGTACATTTGTCAAAACTCATTAAACTGACCACAACACACCTATTAGAATTCCACAGTAAAGTTTTTGGCCATAAGGACTTTGTCGCTCAATAAGCTATTAAATTAATCTACGGATTTTAAGTTAGGATAGGGGCAACCTTTAGGGGGTTGGACAGTGACAGGAGGGACACCAGGGGGGCTTCTGAGGTCCTGGTAATGTTTGATTTCTTAATATAAGTACTGGTTACACAAGTATGTTCACTCTGTGAAAATTCACCAGGCTGGACACATAATTTGTGTGCTTTCTGGGTATATGTTAAACTTCAGTTAAAAAAAAGAAAAGAAAAAGAAAAAATTTAAAGACTAGGGGATCATTCTAGATTAAAGCACACTAAAGAGAAAAATCAATGCAATCCCTATTTTTTTTTTTTTTTTTTATTTGACAGAGAGAGACACAGCAGAAGAGGGAACACAAGCAGGGGGAGTGGGAGAGGGAGAAGCAGGCTTCCCGTCGAGCAGGGAGCCCGATGCGGGGCTCGATCCCAGGACGCTGGGATCATGACCTGAGCCGAAGGCAGACGCTTAACGACTGAGCCACCCAGGTGCCCCTGCAATCCCTATTTCTTGAATGGATTGGGATTTTTCTTAATTGGGAGAATATGAATGTGGACTGTATTATTAAATAGTATTTTATCAATGCTGAATTTCTTGTATGATAATGGTATTACAGTTATATAAGAGAATAACCTCACTCTTAGGACACTCTGAAAGGAAAACCCTGAACGCTGGTGTTCATCTTAGCTGTCCTAGGATGAAACACCGTGATGTCTGTAACTCACTCTCAAATCTTTAAAAAATTACATGTAAAGAGAAAGAAATAAAGCAAATTCAGCAAAATGTAAACAGTGTATCTTGATGTTTTTATAAGAGTTTACAAGAGTTCTCTGTATTATTTTTTCAACATTTCTAGAGGTTGGAAATTTTTCAAGATAGAAAAAAGTTGAGGGGGGAATATCTCGTTTGAACTACTGTTATTCAAGAGTTCACAGACTTCCAAAGCTGCCCATAGATTCTTGGAGAAGGAAACGAACACTCATTGAACACTGTGCAGCAGAGGCTCTTTACGTCCACGATTTCAGTCAACCCTCAGAACAACCCTTGGGTAATTATTATTTTACAAAGGGGAAAACAGGGTCAGAGAGGTGGAGTGACAAGTCCAATAGCAAGTGAGTGCTGGAGTTCAAGGTCTGTCAGGATACAAGGCCACACTCTTCTACTCCTTAATGTCTTCAATGTGTTCTTCTCCCCTCCCTGCTTCTGTGTTTTCTCAATCCCCAATGTACTACATCCAGGGAATCTCAACAGATTTGAAATCTCTGTTCCGTAATATAGTCAATATTGAATAAACACTAAACAATCAGACTGAACCACACTTTTGCTCTTCATTGAAGATAACTGGTGGAGAAGTACAGAAATAGGGATAATAGCTCCCATTCCTATGGGCCATACCATGTCCAGACTACCAGGGCCTCTCCTAAGAGATCAACCACGCAAACGAGGGTAACATGGGGAAAACAGAACAAGGAGAGGAAGCAATACATGTGATTTCTAACTCCAACAGACCATCTTGAAGAAAGACTAAAAAGACCACCATGATGAATAAAGCAAGTATGTCACTGATATCTAAAAGTCACAAAGGACAGCTAAGATGAACACCAGCATTCAGGGTTTTCCTTTAAATTGGAAGGAAATTACTCGAGAACAAATAAAAGAACAACTTTAGTGGGCTGGTAGTCAATATGTGAAAAATCATACCCCCCAAAAAAAAATTATAATAAGGCCTGAAGAAAGATTTCTCGTTTGTGAGTGGAAATCCAGAATTTAATGAATGCAATAATAACAGATAACACACTATGTCAGGCACTGTTCTAAAATTAAGTTAATTTAGGGGCGCCTGGGTGGCTCAGACGGTTAAGCGTCTGCCTTCGGCTCAGGTCATGATCCCAGGGTGCTGGGATCGAGCCCCGCATCGGGCTCCCTGCTCAGCGGGGGGCCTGCTTCTCCCCCTGCTCATGTTCTCTCTCTCTCTGTATCTCTGTGTCTCGAATGAATAAATGAAAATTAATTAATTAATTAATTAAAATTAATTTAGGAGTGCCTAGGTGGTTCAATTGGTTAAGTGTTCGACTGACTCTTGGTTTGGGCTCAGGTCATGATCTCAGGGTTGTGGAATCAAGCCCCCATCAGGCTCCACGCTCAGGAGGGAGTCTGCTTGAGACTCTTTCTCCCTCTCCCTCTGCCCCTCCCCTGACTGCACACACGCATGCACTCTCTCTTTTCAAATAAATAAATCTTTAAAATAAATAAAGTAAAATAAGTTAATTTATTTATCCTCAGAGAAATCCTACAAGATAGGCAATAGTATTATTCCTATCGTGCAGATGGAGAAACTAAAGCCAAAGAAGTCAAGTACCTTGTCCAAGATCACACAGCTCCAAGTAGTGGGGCTAGGATTCTAAGCCAATAGGGATGGCTTTGGAGCCCATACCACTGTTCTACATTGCCTGTCAAAGGAAGAAAGGGTTGGCTATCACCCTGTATCTTTCAAAATGAGAGACTGAGGCCACAAGGCCAACCCACAGACCTTCTATGAAACAAATACTAACTCAGCCCCGAAGGAAAAATGTGTTCATTCTTACAGACCAGGTTTGCGGGGAATTATCCAAATAGTTCTTTCAATTCCACTCTGCTTTGACTAGAGAAATGGGAAGCCAAGTAGATCAGGATTTGAAAATAAAATGACAAGCAACTGCTGAAGAGATGGTTCACTTAATAAGTGTGCATTTGCAGCTTATTGTTAAGACAGTGACAGAATTTGGCATGAAGAGCTCAAATTTTCCCAAAACTGCCAGCGTATTCTGATGCAATCCCAACTCTACCAGCTTTGGAAAGGAGGGCAAAAGAGAAGCAGAGCTGAAAACCAAACAAGTGCTGGCCAAACCCCCTCAAAGGACCTTAGATCCCTTCCACATGTACCGAGAGGACAATTTCCAGAACCAAAGGAATCCTTGGGCACTACAATGGCTCCAAGTGGCAAGCTTTTTAGTAACCTTCAACAGCACTGACAAATTAAAAGTCCTAGAAGAATCAGGGATGGAAGGTACCTTCAATCCCAGGCTGTGGGCATTCCAAACATATAACAGTTCAGAAAAGTCCAGATTCTGAGAAGCCTCAGCATTTCTGCAAGCTAAGTGGGCTAAGGCAAGAAAGGAGGGCCCTGACTCTGAGACACTCCCACAGTCCAGAATTTCTGACAGTGAGAAGGCCAGAATCAGTCCTAATTATTTCCCCTATTTTACAATCCAGATATCTTTCTGAATCACTCACTCTGCTAACAGAAGCTGGTCTGGGGAACACACAGCTCCTCTAAGTGCTATTCCTGTAACAGACTTATCATGAAGAATAAAACAGTAAGAAATTTGAAGTAGTGTTCTTCTGCCAAGGAAGGAAGTGAAATACCAGTAGGCTGTGAAGTCTACAGGTGTTTCAAGGAGGTGAGAGGTAAATGATGGAAGTCCAGACTGGAACCATTTTCTTCTTCCTCTCGCTAATCCTAACTAAATTTAAGCATGTGTGGCTAACTAGTGGAGCCACACACATCTGGGTTTAAATCCAGACCCAATCAGATACATGATTTAGGGCATGTTACAGACCTTTAGCAGCCACTTCTGTGAAATGGCAGTTAGTAACTGCCTGATTTTCATAAAGGTCGTAATGAGCACTAAAGGAGATAGTTAACGTTAATTTGTCCCCAGCATGACAGCACACCCTCAGTAAATACAAGGTACCGCTTACCCCAACCACCTCACTCCAGCCCACCCCGCCTTTGAATTTCAAATCCTTTCATGGGCCTTATCATCCACTGCTTCCTGACAGCAGACGTACAGGCAAGACCACTGGTCCTCAAGGTCCCCTTAACGGAATGGGATTTCGCTGAAAAGCTAGAGCGGAGTCCTCTGGCCGAGAAAACCAAACTCTGGGTAGCAAGGATGGATCCTCAACCAAAAGCCTGGAGACGTCTGTTGTTTACAAGTGAAACCCCTTCCTACCAACGCACTGAGAGGATCCGAGTACATTCCCGACCCTCCAATTTGGCAGAGAAAGCGCAAAGGTGACGAAGAGGCTGGCGATGGGGCCACTTCAGCGAGGCTGAGGCTGTGGGAGAGTGGGAACCCTGATAGATTCAGGGCCCTCCTGGGAGGGGACAACTGAAAACGATCGAGCCTCTCACCCATCTCTCCTCAAGCAGGGGCCCTTACAGCTCAAGGCTGAAGACTTCTCAAGGGTCCTGCCACCGTCCCGGCCAAGCGCAAGTGGGGCCCGAGGGGCCCTCAGGCTGGAAGTGGGGGCCCACGGGCGCCCCGGAGCCCCGGCTCGGCAATGTGGTCTAAGAGGGGTCACCGGGGGAGGGGCCGGGCGGCGAGGACCTGAGGAGGGGCGGGGCCCAGGAGGGGGCCAGAGGTCTGGGCCGCCGGCTGCATAGGCTCAGGGACCCTGCCCGGCTTCCAGCCGCACGCCGAGCGCCCCCTCCAGCCAGGGTCCCCGCCACTACGGCGGAGCAGTCCCACTCTCCTTACCTGGCTCGGTTGCTCTGCCTGCTCCGAGGACGCCATCTTTCTGAGGCCTAACTAATCTATCGCCGCTGGGCGAGGCGTCTCCCAAGCGCCCTCGCTCTAGCTCACCAGCCCAGACCAAAGTAGCCGGAACGGAGCCGGTCGATGGCGGGCACGCAGGGAGGAGAGCGAACATCCACCTCTGGGGTCACCTCGCACTATTGCCATTAGGTCTCCGCTGGCCAGGAAGATCCTAAGTCCGTCCTTTTTGCATTTTTAGATGTGTATTATTCTCACTGAATTAAATCTCTGCCCATCCCCAAGGGGCCTTGGGCACAGGCAGGGACTAGCTAAGTCTTTAATAAATGGGAAGAAACTTGGAAATTAATTAATTAATGGTTCGGTTCAGTACCATTTGTTGAGTACCTACTGCTTGCCAGGCACTTTGGTAGTCGCTAGAAATAAAAAGATCCAAGACTCACCTCCTGCACGCACAATTACAGCATCTTGGAGATAGGAGTCTGAAACGGTTTGCAGATCTATTAGGACACTGAACGGGGCTTTTTGGAGAGGCTTCCACATTCTTACTTTATAGTAGTTGAGTTGTTAGATTTTAAGCTAAGTATAAAATTACACGAAATGATTGCGTGTATTAGAACTACCAGTCAGTTTGTATTGCAGTTGGGTTTTGATTGATTATGAAGTATTCAAAAGGATTGTCTCAAGTAACAATTCCCCCTACCAAACACTGTTTTAAATGCTTACCCTTTTCTTACGAGATAATATCTTATTTTCTTATAAAAAAAAATACGAAAGAGACTGTATGAATATGGGCTATTTCTCGTTTACATAATATGCCCTCACCTTTTAAGCGAGGAACCATTTTGATTTTTTTTATTATTGTTTTAATGTTAACTTTTTTCAGAGGGGGTAGGTAGCAGTATTAGAACGAAGATGAATTTATTTTCAAGCAGCATCTGGACAATCTCAAACAGTGATGTGGTTCGCATTTTCCCTTTCCCCTCTAATTTCTTTGAGACCTTAATGTTTAATCTAGTTATGTAAGCATTTTGTTCCGGGATCCCAACCCAGTTTGCACAACTAAAGCAGGGAATCGAACTGGTGGAAATGTGTGAGTATCTTATGCTTCTCTGTTACATTTTTAGCAGGACTGAAAACTACGCTCATCAATTTTTAAAATTGACTTCCTTCAGATTATCCTGAGGGTTGGGACATCTTACAGATCTTTTCAGTCTGGACAGGGAAAACAAATTAATACAGTACAATGACAGACTGTTTCATCTAAGTATTAATATTATGCATCTATATATGTAAACAAGAGTGCTCTGAAAACCCAAGGTAGTATATATGCGTGTCTTTCATAATGCAAAACAAATCCCTATTGACCTCATTTTGATCCCGCTACTGCAACTCCTAAATACAAAGTAGAAAAACACTCCCCTGGGCCGTATTGAGCAACATAACGAAGTCGGCTTCGAACCCAGAGACTACAGCTCCCGGCATGCCCCCGGAGCCATACGTGATTAGCGGCAACCAGAACTACATCTCCCGGCGTGCCTTGGTCCCACGCGTGATTTGCCACAAAGAGAACTACACCTCCCGGCACGCCGCAGGTGGGGGGAAGGTGCAGCGCTGAGCCTCCCTGATTTCCCGGAGTCAGGTCCCACCCTGAAGAGGATGGAAGTGGTCGGGGAGGCCGAGACTGAGACCCGGGCCCTGAAGCCGTGTCTGCTGCGCCGCAACCACAGCCGCGAGCAGCACGGCGTGGCGGCCTCCTGCCTCGAGGAGCTGAGGAGCAAGGGTGGGCGCGGGACGCGGGCGGAGGCTGTGGGGGCCCGGGCCGGGGCTGCGGAGAGCCGGGCCGGGTGAGGATGTCTGGCAGGGGCAAGGCGGGGTCAGCAGGAGCGACTTGGGACGGAAATAACCGACGTGGGCATAGCGATTATCTCGTGTGAGACTCCTAATGGTGGGAAGGTAGACGGGAATCAATACGCGAATTAAGACCGACTCGACTTAGGTGCCTCGCCTAAAATCACTGACCTTGGACCAGACTCAGCCGCCCGGGCTCCGTACGGTGATACCGGCGCCCCCGGCTGAGCTCCCGGCCGGGTGGGAGCGCCTTTTCACCGTCAGTTCTCGCAGGCGCTTGTGCGGCGAAGAGGGAGCCGACCATTCTGGAGTTCCAGACAAGGAGCAGGTGCTGTGAGTGACCGGGGTTCTGAATCCCGGCCCCACACTTAACTAGCTGCTTGACCTTGTACTTGAGCAGCCCGCGACCCTCAGTTTTCTCATCGGCAAAATGGGTATAATATTTCCAGCCCTGCTTTACAGGATTGTTGGAACTCTCAAAGCAGATGATATATTTACATGACTTACAAGTATTATGAGCCGGTAGCAATAAATTGTTTATCCACGGAAGTTCTACTGGCTAAAGGTGTGAGCGGAGCGGTCCCGGGAATGTAGTCAAAGGGGGTGTCAGGGTTCAGTGGGCTTCCTGTCAGAGTCACCAAGACCCAAAAATTACCAGACAGAAATCTATCAGAGACCCAGGAGCAGCCAAAACATTATAAATGCTTTAGTGAGATCGTTTTTGCCATATCAACATTCACATATTTTTCCTTGGCATTAGGGTACTTGAGTTTTAGTTCCCCTTTGTGCATCGGCTGGATGCACTTGGCACAGAAGCTTGTGTAAGTGTTTATGTTCTCTGGAGCTCAGCCTTTGGAAGGTTTGCTGTTCTGTTTGGGTGCTGGATAACATTGCCCAACCATATACCTAGTCTTGTGGCTACTTTGCTGCTCACTCTCATCCCATTCGCATTTTAGGCTTTGTCATCACTAAATGGGATGGTACAGATCTGCCCTGGACAAGCCTTTTGCCCTTTGACAATAAAGATGAGAAGCTACTGATACAAAGTTCTGCTTCTCTTGTGCCTTCCTATAGGTTAGAAAGGCTGCAGAGAACGATGCTTCAAAGAACACAACGCATTTCCTTTTTCCTGTTCTATTCTGTTCTTTTCTTTTCTTGCTTTTCTTTCTTTCAACATTTGACACAGGAGAATTTAAGATGACCACTGAGTAAATGAATGAAAGACTGCTTGTTCACAAGGAATCAAATCAGACTTTGGTTTGTTTTTCATCCAAGTAAAGATGGGAGGGCCTTCTAATGTGGAGGTAGAGCAGCTGGAGGAAACTTTTTCAGGAGTCAGGCTGTGGGTTTAAATCTCAGCTCTGACACTTACTGTGTGACTTTGGACAAGTTACTTAGCCTCCCTGAGCCTTGGGTTTGACATCTGTAAAATGGGAATAACAATTGTAGATACCTTATAGGATTTTTAGGGGAATACTGTATACAAAAAGTACTTAGTACCAGGCATGTGGGAAATGGTATATTAGTGCTAATAGTTGTAGTTGTTATTGTAGTTACTGTTAACTACCAGGAATTCTGCTTTGCTCTGGGAGCATATATATAGTGGGTACAGGGACAGATGTAATTTCCTTATGGATACTTGTCAATTGCCAAATATTTTATTCCTCTCAGCCTGTGACATTCTGGCCATTGATAAGTCCCTGGCACCAGTCACCCTGGTCCTGGCAGAGGATGGCACCATTGTGGATGATGACGATTACTTCCTGTGCCTACCTTCCAATACTAAGTTTGTAGCGTTGGCCAATAATGAGAAGTGGGCATACAGCAATTCAGGTAAGAAACTCTGGCCACATATAAAGTCATCTGTGCAATACAGCATCCACCATGATTCATTTTACTGCACAGGTACTGGTTGCCGTTTGTCTCGTTCAGCATCTATGCAGCCAACATTTACTGAGCACCTTCTGCATGCCAGGGCGTGATGCTGAGTCTTGGGGTAAAGAATGAGATGCGGGCCCAGTTCTCAAATAACTCACAGACCAACAGTAACTAAAATGCAGCATGACAGAGAGATCAGTGCCACAGGCAGAGTCAAGCTGCCTGGTTTCACTCCAGACTATTTTTTACTAGCCATGTGACCTTAGGCAAGTTACCTAACTTCTTAGCACCTTACTGAGGTAATAATTATAGTAGCTTTCTCTCTTAGGGTGTTGTAGGGCTGATAGAACATAATATATATCAAACCAGGGTTTCTCGACAATACTATTGACATTTCGTGCTGGAGAATTCTTTGTTGTGGGGGCTGTCCTGTCCATTGCAGGATATTTAGCAGCAACCTCAGCCTTTGCCCACTAGATGCCAGTAGTATCTCTTTACCCCAGTTGTGACAACCAAAAATGCCTTCAGACATTGTCAAATGTCTTCTAAGGGGGGGCAAAATCACTCCCAGTTGAGAACCACTGATAAAAAGCATTTAGATCTTGCCTGACACGCAGAAAGGGCTTAGTAAATGTTACACCATCATCATTACTGGAGATACAAAGAGAACTAATATTGATGAGCAAGGACCAAAGGCTAAAAAAGTGTCCCCATTGAAGACAGTCCCCATGCCACTAAATTGAGGAAGTCACCCTTCAGCAGTGGCTCTGCCAGCCACCTTTGTGCTCCAAAGTACGGGGACAGCAAACAGTGGCAGCAGCTCCTCCAGTCAGGGATAAGACTAATCCCCAAGCACAGGAGAAGTGCTGGTGACAATGAATGTTTTTGTATACAGAAATGGAACACAGAGACACAATAACTCACCTAAAGGGAAGTGTGGTAGGATCCTGGGTGTGCATGACCATGCATCAGGTTTAAAGTGGCTTCTTTCCGTAAGAAGGTTACAGAGCAGTTCCACACAGAAATAAAGCCAGGGTGGAAGAGAAGGGAAAATGTAGGTCCTAGATGAGGATTGGCTTTCCCATGAATCCCTGAGGAAAGGCTCTTCCTTCACCACTGAAATTATCCTAAATGGCCAGTCCGAGGCCTGTGTGTTGGAGGAGGAGGTGAACACAGCACCTCAGGTTACCTGTGACTGGCTGCTTCTCCCCATGTCAGATGGAGGCACAGCTTGGATTTCCCAAGAGTCCTTTGATGTGGATGAAACAGACAGTGGGTCAGGGCTGAAGTGGAAGAATGTGGCCAGGCAGCTGAAAGAAGAT